AAGGGCTCTTCCTCTGCGCTGTCTGGAGTAACTTGCATTGGTGGGCAGGGCTGCAGCCAGACCTGATGTCTGCCCCTAGCCCACCGCTGGGGCCACGGTCAGACTGGTGTGTACCTTATCTTCCCTTCTCCCAGGGGCAGGACTCACTGTGGAGTGGTGTGACCTCTGGGCTACTTGCACACTGCCAGTCTTGTGGTACTGCTTCGTTGGGATCTGGCATATTAGCCAGGGTGGATCCGCAAGGTGCACAGGGGCGGGAGGGTCAGGCTCAGCTCCTTTTGCCTTTGGTGGTCCGCTTCGGGAGGGGCCCTGTGGCACTGGGAGGGAGGCAGACCCATCGGAGGGATGGATCTGTAGAAGCACAGCATTGGGTGTTTGCCAAGGTCTTATGTTTTTTATATCCTTGCTGATTTCCTATTTAGTAGTGCTATCAACTAAGAGAGGGATGTTGAATTTGTCAACTATTCTAGATTGGTCTATTTCTCCTTTCAGTTCTCTCAGCTTTTGCTTCCTGTATGTGGATGTTCTGCTGTTTCTTGCACACAGGGTTGTTGTATTCTTAGTGGATAGAGTCTACTGTAATGCACATTTTACCCTGGAAATATTCTTTGCTGTGAAGTGTTATCTTTATTTAGTGTTTTGCTTTTTCAGTTGAGCATGTTTCAAGGTTTATCTCTATTATAGTATATATCAATACTTCATTCCTTTTTATGGCTGAATTATATTGTAGTTTACAAATATGCCATATTTTATTTATCCAGTCATCTGTTGATGGAAATTTAGATTATTTCCATATTCTGGCTATTGTGAATAGTGCTGTTATGACATTTGTACACAAGTTTTGTTTGAACATTAAGTTTGCAGCATATATTGAGAAGTGGAATTGGCACAGGTCAGGCAAGGCAAATTAGTTTCTTAGCTTATTTTAATTATGTATAAGAGTCAATCATCTGGTAGTTAAGCTAATTATACTGTTCTGGGATTTGGCCTGTTGTTAAGTAGGCTCCATGCCCAATGCAGGACTTGCACTCATGACTGAGATGAAGAGTCCCATGTTCTATGAAGTGAGCCAGTCACGGGCCCCTGGAAGTCAGTTTTTTAGAATACTGAAAGATCATTAAAATAGCCAGTTGGCCAGGCAAGCTAATGGTACTTGGAGATTGTGCTGTCTCTAAGAAGAAAATAAATTTGTTTCTCCCTCATTATAGTGTGAAGCTGCCCTCATAAAAAGGCATGATGTATTATTTCTTCTGGAGTTCCAAGGAACCTTTAATGTGAGGAAGAAAAAGTATTACACACCTGGCAAGGAAAGACAAATATGGAGGCAGCTCAGAACAAGTGTTATGCCCCTTCTTTTGGCATCAGACACCTCTCTCAGTAGATCCTTGAACCTGAGAAAATACTTCTTTTTGGAGCTGCCAAGAGAATTATTTGGAAATTAAAAACGAGTGGAACTACTGGCACAATGGAGTAAAGGGATGACCCCAAGAACCAGTTCCTTTTTCTTCTGGTTGGATCTTGAAAATCTGATTTACTATCACTATTGTTTTGCAAAATTGCTTGAATTAGCAGAAGCAAAGCTAAAAACAAACAAAAGAGGTAAAAAAAAAAATGCCTGCACTCTACAATGCTAATAAAAACTGATATGTAGGCATAATTTTGAATTGGGAATTCTAGTTTACTGAAAATAAATCTTACTTTGGGTGACAAATATTTGAAGAACTGTACACTTCTGAACATTAATAACACGTTTCTTTTATCAACTTTAGAAAATATCCAGAACAGAAGAGTCTTTGAGTGGAGCTTATAGCAATAGTTTTCCTTAACTATTTATAATAAATTATGAATAATCACAGAAGATCATTTGCAGCATCAAACGAAAATATATTCAGATTTCACTTTGATAATTTCACCTTCAGGAAGTATTTCTGAGTGAGCAATATGTAGAGCGTCTGTTTCAGTTGCTTGAGATACACATTATGAACAAAACATAAAAATTCCTGCCCTCAATGGAGGCTTTTTAAAATTAGCATAAAGGTCCTTAATAGGCAGGCAGACAGAAAATTGACTCTTCCAGGGTCTCTAGATGTGGCATCCATGTTGGAATAAAAGCCCATGACCTGGAAAGGTCATTAGCCAAGTAGGGAGAAAGAAGCATTCATGGCTATAGCACAGACCATGTCTCCAGTTAATAATGTATTATACAGGGAGTTGTCCTGTGGGCCTACCCCAGCAAGGGGACAGCAGGTAAAGCCTAAGTGTCCAATCATGGGACTTTGTCACCTGTACTCCCAATGAGTGACTCAGACTACCTGGGTGGACTTATTTCATCCTAATGGGTAGATGATCTTGAACTTAATAGCAAATCCAATCACAATTCTAAAAGATTATATATAAAAAAGGGTATAAAGGAGATGATTCTAAATATCTTAAGAAACTGAAACTTAAGAAACTAAGAAAGAAGGACTCTTTTTATTACCAACTATTATAAAAGCAGAGTGAACAATAATCTCTTGATTATTTTTAGGGAATATAGCACTAACTAGATACTATCTTCTCTTTTTGCAGATGCATCTTTACAAGGCCATTGGCAGCTCTAGAGTAATAATTTAATCGCGTCTGATGTTCCATTTCTGTAGTCCTAGGACATATTTTCCTTTTCTTGATTCAAATACTCTTCAGTGCAAAAATTCAGTATCAGGCTAGAAAAGGAATATTTTGGCTCATATGAGGTATACGGTAGCCCTGATCCCAAAAGGTGGATATGTTGCTAGTATAACAGAATGCAGGGAATGGGTCATGAGCAGCTCTGTGCAATATCTTTACAAATGGCAATTTAGAATATGAACAGATTTAAAATCATTAGGAAAGGGGTGAATTATCATATCGTATGTGGAGCATTGGATATTAATACAAAAGAAAAAATTGTATTAGGTCAAATGACATAAAAGGAAGCACTGGACATATAGAGACCTTTACTTTGTATGCAGTTAAAATGGTGAATATTTTGCTCTATCAGTATGATGATGGATCCAGGTAGCAATGCTGGCAATCAGGGTAGTGAAGTCTTACTCAGCAGCTTGGTTCCACTCGGTATTACCATAGAATAGTCACTTACCAAAAGCACCTAGTCTAACAACCCAGATGTCAGCAGCTATGACTTTTCCCTACAGTTCAGCACCAAAAAGGGGTGTTTTTGTCAGTCTGCCGTTTTACTGCCGGTGTGTCAAGCAGCTAGGCACAGTAAGAACCCAAAATAAAAATGCCAGAAGTTGTATCAAAGGGAATATCTGCTAGAGTTAAGAACATCCTTGTGTCCTGCCCCTTGAGAGGATCAGCCACATCAATTTTTAGGTCTGCATTAATGGCAATAAGGTTGACTAGTCACAGTGCCCAAGTGGTTCTCACTAGCCTTTCAGTGAACCAGGCCCAATTAGAGTAACCTCTATGAACTGAGGGCCCTACTGAGCCAGTAGCTTTGCTTCATGCAGCAGAGTGGGGGATAAATTTCCTCTGTAAGGGATAGCTGCTATCACCTCATGTACAGCTGAGATACTTCTGGGACCAGGACAGCTGTATTCTTAAATATACCATGTGCATTTTACACAGGTATGAGGCCTGAGTACTTTACATCTTATTAGCCAGTTAAGTCCAAGATGACACCCTAAAATTGGAATATCAAGTCAGAGTTAGGTGTAAAAGAGCCCAAGAGTAAGCTAATGGCTGCTTTACAAAAGAGGTATACTTCATAGCCTCATTAGGGTATCAAGTCAAATAACTCTTCTCCCCCACCCCAAGGGCATCTCCTTTTGCTAGAAATTCCAATCAACAGAATGACAAGTCACAGAGACTTGAAGCCCAAAGTAGTCATTAAGGGCTGTGAGGCCTCAAAGTTATCTTCTTTACACACATCTTTTCCTGACTAGGAGAATCTCCTCTGAGTTATGGGAAGGGGAAGTATAGCATAGAACACATTCCTACTATACTTTAGAAATAATCCCAGTATACTGTACTGGCCTAAAGGGCCTCCTTTTTTCCAAGATCAAATTCATTTCCCTTCCCTACTGTAAACCCTGCCCTAACAACATTTTCTAAATCTAGATACCCTCTAATCCCATGGAAATTGATAAGATGTTGACTTGGGCACTTGTATCTCATAGATCCAGAAAAGTTTGGACCCCTTTCCTCCCTCAAAGTTCCCCCAAATACTTGGGTGGGTGTCAATGGCCTTGTGTCCCCTTTGGAGACAGGAAAATTTCTCTCCCCTAAAGAAGCGAATGTTGGGGTATATGGAGGTAAAAGGAAGTGTGGAAGGAGAGTGGCTTCATGACATTAAACAAGCCACATTTACTTTAGTTGCATGAGGTATACTCATATTTTAACCAAAAAACCTTTCAACCTTTTGGTTCATTGAAAGCCCTGTTACAGGTGTATTATTTATTTCATTACACTGAAAGAAGGTGATTTTTTTTTTTAATGAATTCTCTGATGATCTTTGAGAGACTCCTCCCAACACCAAACTTTAATAAGTGTTATACCCGCTGGCTGACATAAGCTTGGCTTACTCAAATAGTTTTCTACCTCCCCAGCAGAGGGATGGCTAAATTATGTTCAAAAGCAAATAGACCTAAACATTTAAGAGCTTAATAGAACAAAAGCTTACTTCTTAATTATAAAATGTTCAAATGGTAAAGATGGGAATGAGAATTTTGTTCCACATATTCCAGGCACCCTTTTATCTTATAAAAGCTGTGCCATGTTCGCCTGGGTGGCGCAGTCGGTTAAGCGTCCGACTTCAGCCAGGTCACGATCTTGCGGTCCGTAAGTTCGAGCCCCGCGTCAGGCTCTGGGCTGATGGCTCAGAGCCTGGAGCCTGTTTCCGATTCTCTGTCTCCCTCTCTCTCTGACCCTCCCCCGTTCATGCTCTGTCTCTCCCTGTCCCAAAAATAAATAAACGTTGAAAAAAAAATTAAAAAAAAAAAAAAAAAAGCTGTGCCATGTTGAAGCATGATACCCAAGGTTGTCTTGGGTCATCTCTGTTTTATTCTGACAGTATCCCTGTAGTTTGTCAGGGAGGTCTTTTGTCAGAACTAGATACGGCATACAACATGAACATTCAAAGTCCACCAGCCCTATTTGGAGGAAAGGGAGACCCAGACAATTATGTGTGAGTTATCTTAAAAGGCATGGCTTCTTTCAAGAGGGCTTTCCATAGTATCTTGAAAGGAGTATCAGCCTGTGTGCATTCTCTGATATATATTCAAGGTTGCTTTTTGGATAAAGGTTTTCCTACATTCATATGTATGTGGTTCCTCTCTTGTGTGGATTTTCTGGAGTCAAATGGATTGGTCTTTCAGCCACAATGATTTTCCACAGTTATTATATCAACAGGATTTCCCTCCCTCCCTGAATTCTCTGGTAAATATTTAGGGTTGACTTCTTAGACAATGTTCCAAATTCATTACATTTATAAGATTTCACCACTGTGAATTCTCTGATGTATTCTGAGGTTTGATTTCTGGCCAAAAGTTTTCCCACATTTATTACACTGAAAAGGTTTCTCTCCTGTATGAATTCTCTGATGATCATTAAGGATTGCCTTCCGGACAAATTTTTTCCCACATTCATTACATTTAAATGGTTTCTCCCCAGTATGAATTCTTTGATGCACTCTAAGGGTTGATGTCCGGGCAAAAGTTTTCCCACATTCATTACATTTAAAAGGTTTCTCTCCTGTGTGTGTTTTCTGATGTTGAATGAGATGGTCTTTTCGCCAGAACGATTTTTCACATTCGTTACACTGATATGTTTTCTCACCACTATGTGTTCTCTGATGTATTCTGAGGTTTGACTTCTGACCAAAAGTTTTCCCACATTCATTACACTGAAAGGATTTCTCTCCTGTGTGAATTCTGTGATGATCTCTGAGGGTTGACTTTTGAACAAAAGTTTTCCCACATTCACTACATTTATAAGGCTTCTCTCCTGTATGAATTCTCTGATGTCCCCTGAGGGTTGACTTCTGGACAAATGTTTTCCCACATTCATTACACTTATAGGGTTTTTCTGCTCTGTGAATTCTCTGATGTGTACTGAGGTGTGACTTCTGGGAGAAGGTTTTTCCACATTCATTACATTCAAATGGTTTCTCTCCTGTGTGAGTTCTCTGATGTTGAATGAGATGTCCTTTTTGAAAGAAAGATTTACCACATTCATTACACTTATAGGGTTTTACTTCAGAGTGACTTCGCTGTCGTACTTTGTGGGCTGATATGTGGTAGGATTTCCTATCTTCATGATATTCAAAGGATTTATCCCCAGTTTGTCTTCTGTCATTACATACTAATGAGTTCTCTTCTGTGACAGGTATCTGAGGTTGAGTGAAGTATGACTTCCTGTAGAAATTATTCCCACTTGCATTACATTCATGTTTCACAGCCATGTTGAATTTATTGTATTCCTTGAGAGCTGACTTCTCACAGAAGGATTTCCCACATTGGTTAAGATGAGGGTATTTCTCCCCTGTCCCAGTTGTTTTATAGTTAAAGACAGTTGTTTTTTCATTTTTTCCCCTAAATCCATCATTTTTATAGGATTTTTCTCCTGTGTGAATATTCTTATGTGTAACACAGGCAGCCTCATCATAGATGGTTTTTCCAATTTCATTATATTTAAAAGCTTGCTCCAACGTTTGACACTTTTGACTCTCAGGAGGATTTTCCTTATAACTGAAAGCTTCCCCACTTCTATTATATTCATATAACTTCTCTCCAGTGTGATTTCTCTCAAACTTAATTTTGAAAGACAAATTTTTACATACACTACAGCAATCTGGTTTTTTTGTTGAATAGTTTCTATTATTAATGATAAATTGGGAAATATTTTGCAAATTTACTCCCCATGAGTCATATTTACAGGACATTTTTGTTGAAATAGGAGCTATGTGCAGATTAAACTGTTTTCCCAAAATTTCCTCTTCCTCTCCAGTCAATAGTTTATTATCAATGGATATTACTTCCTGAAAGTGGTTGTCTTTGATTTTCTTGTTCCTCTTGATCAGGTAATCATCTCTGTAATCTTCTAAAATGGAGATAAATTGAAAACATCTTATAAATCTTACATTTCTTATGGCTGGGACACAGACATATAGCTTATATTATATTTCACTTTTTGTTTTTTTTAAGATTAAATAATTTATTTGTGTGTATATCTTCACTCTGCTTTAAAAAACAATACAGTGAAAATGAGAGAGGAAACTAGTAATAAATACATATCTTTATTTGGGTTGTAATAAATTGGATTTTTCTACCAAGGTGGAGAATGATAAAATTGAATAGACTTTTACAGGAGTGGTTATTTTAGGGAGCAGGAAAATCAGATAATGGGATGAACCCAACTGGACTATATAAACTTAAGTACAAAAAAAATTAGTATTAATTAAGTAACAAAAAAATTAGGAGATAATGAACACTGATGGGCTAGGCCCGACAGAAGAAGAGTTTGCTTTGAGGAAGTATATTATATAGCCCTACACTATTAGAGGCCATACTGGTAAAATACTCAAGAGTCTATGCTTCCAATTTGATATCCCTTATTTTCATTAAATCCTTCAACATCAAATTAAAATTGAGTACAAGATTCCTTATGATTAAGAAGTTTATAGCTCAGACTCTAACCATCTTATAAGTTATGGAAATACAAACAAGTGAAAAAAGATGAAAGAAAAATCCATTTTTGCAACTAAATTAGATTCACTGCTCAATTCCTGCTGTGGTACCTTTATCAAAGTTGAATAAGTGTACCTGATCACCTCATCCTAATTTTCCACATTTCAATCTGATGTGAGGGGTATATTTTATATATGTATGCAAGTATGTACGCTCTGTGGCCAGTGTGGGGCTTGAACTCTGGACCCCGAGATCAAGAGTCACATGCTCTATTGACTGAACCAGCCAGGTATTCCAAGGGGTGCAATTTTAAATGGAGTATCATGGAAGGCCTTACTGCAGAGATGGCACTTAAGAAAGCTCCAAATCATTTATGAATTCTAGATGCTCTTCCTTTGAGGCTTTTATGAGTTGTAAATATCATTTATTTTTGGTTCATCTCTTCACTCTCTTAAGTATGAAACATGATTTACATCTGCATAAAACTTATATGTGCAATTTAACAGTACCGAGTGAACACTGGTGTAATTAGAAACCAGGTCAAGAAACAGAACCCAAAATGGCTCTGCAAAAATCCCTATTTGTCTCTGCCCAGTTACAACTTATTCATGCGTAAGAGTTCATACTCTCCGAATATTTATATAATTGTTTCCTTGGCTTTCTTTGTAGTTTTACCACCAAAAAATGAATTCCTAAAAATTTAATTGAGTTTTGCATTTCTGACATTTACATAAATGTAACCATACATGCATACTTATATTGTTTGGTTTCTTTTGCTTAATATTATATAGCTAATTATCCCTTAAGGAATACAACTATTTTTTCATTCTACTGCTGATGCACCCAATTTTAAACAAAAACAAACAATATTGCCACAAATACTGTTTTCTTTATCCTAGAGAATACAATCAAGCCTTTCTGTAGGGTATACAGTTAGGAAAGGAATTCCTTGGTTACAAGTTATATAGAACTTTACCATGATTTGATAACATCCTTCTGATAACACAGTGGTTTTACCAATTTACATTTTCCATTAGTGAGTAAGATTCTTTAATATTTCACATCTTCATCAGGACTTGGCTTTGCCAAACTTGTTAATGTCACCTCATACATCTCTCATAACACTTTATATTTTATGTTGCACTCCATGAAAGCTAATGAGACTGAACACATTTTCAAAGATATAATGGCCATTTGAAAGTTCCTGTTCAGTCTTTCACTTATTTTTTAGTTGGGTTGCCACCTTTTCCTATGTTGACTTACGGAAGTTTTTACATTTTCAGGATACTTATCCTTTCTAGGTTACTTGTACTATATACATATTCTGCTACTCTGTGGCTTGTCTTCTCATCCTTTTAGTGGTATCTTTTATAAACAAAGTTCTCAATTTTAAAGTAGTCAAGTTTATTAATCGTTTTCTTTTGATTGGTGCTTTTTGCACCTTTGAGACTAAAAGAAAAGTCTTGAAATAGAAAGGTTTTTATCACCAAACTGACCTTCTGGAGTCTAACCACCCCTACAGAATTCTATCTGCTAGTGCTCAGTAACTCACCTTGGTGGCTCTGGTTTAAGAATTCTTCTAAGAACCAAGGCTCCTCTCCTTGCTCCAATTTGAAGATTACTGCTGGTTTGAAAATGCAGTTCCCTGTAAACAGGGAACAATGGAGTACTTAGGACAGATGATGAGCTTTTTAGTCTCCAAAAGTGTAAAAAAGATAGAGCTTCAAGAGCTGCATCCTGAAGATCCTGGTTTGGATTTATCATGGAGAGCTGACAAAACGCTCCTTTTATCTTCAAAAGGGCATAACTAATAATTTTATATTCCTGAATGAAATGCTTAAATAACATTAAAATCTAAATAAAGTATTCATGTGTATTGGTGTATAAAAAGGAAATACTTGGGGCGCCTGGGTGGCGCAGTCGGTTAAGCGTCCGACTTCAGCCAGGTCACGATCTCGCGGTCTGTGAGTTCGAGCCCCGCATCAGGCTCTGGGCTGATGGCTCGGAGCCTGGAGCCTGTTTCCGATTCTGTGTCTCCCTCTCTCTCTGCCCCTCCCCCATTCATGCTCTGTCTCTCTCTGTCCCAAAAATAAATAAAAAACGTTGAAAAAAAAAATTAAAAAAAAAAAAAAAAGGAAATACTTTCCATGTGGTGTGATGAGGGTAAGTTACACTTATATGCTCACCCACTGAGACCAGGTTGTTGTAGTTCTCCAGCATCACATCTCTATACAGGGTCCTCTGAATTGGACCTATTTGCTGCCACTCCTCCTGGGTGAACTCCACAGTCACGTCCTTGAATGACACTGATGCCTGCAACAGTACATTTCTGCTCAATGTGAAGTGTTCATAATTAGGTAACAAAGAAAATACCCCTAAAAACCATTCTTATGTTTACTGTAAAGAGTTTAAAATGAATATAAAGGACGCTTTTTTGAATCTAATTTTAACTTTAATTTTTTGAAATGTTTATTTAAGGGGGGGAGGGAGGAGGGGCTCAAACGGAGGGAGACAGAGAGAATCCTAAGAACACTGTCAACATAGAACCTGATGTGGGACTTGAACTATGAACTATGAGATCATGACCTGAGCTGAAATCAAGAGTCAGATGCTTAACTGACTGAGCCACCCAGGCACCCTGATAATTTTAAGTTTGTTTCAGAACTACTCAACTAGTAAAAACGTTCAAGAGTTGATGCTCAACTGACTGAGCCGGCCAGGCACCCCTAACTTAATTTTTGTATTTTTATGAGTTCTACACATGTACTATCAATAAGTATATTAGTAAAACTTTTGTCTTAAAATTTTTTAAAGCACAAATGATAAATTTCCTCCAATTTTTATCCCACACCCCAATATACTACCCTGGGTATATTCTACAGTAGGGGCCAGCAAATTATGACCTGTGGCCAAATCCAGCTTGCCACTTTTTTAAATAAGTTTTTATTGCAACATAACCACACACACAGCCAATCATTCTGTACTGTTCATGGTAACTTTTGTGCTGTAACAGCAGAGCCTAGTACTCCCATCAGAGACCTTAGGACTATAAAATGTGAAAACATTTACTATCTGACCCATTAGAGGCAAAGTTTGCCAACCATTGGGCTAAACCAGTCCAATTAAAGGAAAGATTAACAGCTTAAAAACAACAACCCCCTCCCCCCCAATTAATAGAGAGGGATATATTGTAGATTGAAAATAACAGAATGGAAAAAAATACACGTAATTATGAGGCAAAAGTAAGTTGGATGGTTATATTAACATGAAAAAAAATCGGGGCGCCTGGGTGGCGCAGTCGGTTAAGCGTCCGACTTCAGCCAGGTCACGATCTCGCGGTCGTGAGTTCGAGCCCCGCGTCGGGCTCTGGGCTGATGGCTCAGAGCCTGGAGCCTGCTTCCGATTCTGTGTCTCCCTCTCTCTCTGCCCCTCCCCCATTCATGCTCTGTCTCTCTCTGTCCCAAAAAATAAACGTTGAAAAAAAAAATTTAACATGAAAAAAAATAAAGGTAAGAAAGTATGATAAAACATAATAACAATTTATGATCCTTTTAACAGAAGATAATCATAATTTGGTATGCATTTGAAAGCACAGCTTCCAAATACAGTCAATCCTAATTATTCACTGATTCTGTATCTGCAAATTCACCTAAAATTTACTTCTAACCTCAATAGTTATGATTTTGCAGGATTTATGGACACTTGCAGAATGGTTAAAAAAATTTGAGTGCCCAGCACATGTTTTTCCAGCTGGAACTGAACAAGATAATGCTTTGACAGATTTTTTTTTGCAGTCTATTTAGTGCATTCTTGGCATTTTTGTGCTTTTTCTTAGTGTTTTCACTTTTTAAAATGCTCCCCCACCCCTGCATAATGCAGAAATGCGGTCTAGTGTTCCCAAGAGCAGGAAGTTTGTGATACGCCTTAGGGAGAAACCAAGTGTGTTAGATAAACTTTGAGAATTAATTATCATGCAGATGGCTGTTAGTTCTTGCTCGTGAATCAACAATATATTAAATAAGGTATTTTTAAACAGAAACACACATAAAATAAGACTGCATATTGAATGGTGGACCAAAATGTTGTGACTGGAAACTCACAGGAACTTAAACCTGTACTTCCCCTAGGAACAATGATTCAGTATTTGCTAATTCAGTGCTCATAGTGATTTTATAGAAAATAACCACTGAGAATAGGGAGAATCAACTATGTATAAACAAAAGTTAACAGAAATGTTATAGAGGGATCCATAATTATAACTGGTGATTTCAACACAACTCTCAACTCAGAGGGCAAGCAGAAAAAAACAAAACAAAACAATAGAGATCTAGAAAGAGATCAGCAACAGCCAAGAGGAAAAATCTGACCCACGGTTTTTCTTCATTTAAAGAAAAAATTAATCTTTATTTATTTTTGAGAGAGACAGAGCATGAACAGGGGAGGGGCAGAGAGAGAGGGAGACACAAAATCTGAAGCAGGCTCCAGCTGTAAGCACAGTCTGATGTGGGGCTTGAACTCATGAACTGTGAGATCACGACCTGAGCCCAACAGGCTTAACTGACTAAGCCACCAGGTGCCCCTGTTTTCATTTTGTAAATAAAAATTTATTGGAACACAGTCATGTTCATTTGTTATGTTATCTATGGCTGCTATAGCCCTACAACTGTAGAGTTCAGTATTTCTAGGGATCCTATCTCACACAAAGCCTACTATGTGACATTTACAGATAAAATTTGTTGACCACTGACACAGAAGATTTACATGACATAAATAACAAATTTAAGTAACTGAAACATATAGGATAATCTAATCAAAATATTTTCTGGCGCATTTTGTATATTAAAAATAAAAACAGTAAGTCTCACCAAATTAGAAAAGATTACAAACATATAGTTTGACTTTGGCTTTTAGTTCAGAGATATAGAGAGCTGAAAAGAGCAGCATTAACATCCTTAAAACAAGAACAAGCTGGGCAGGTTGGAAATTAAGGTATTTAAAAAAAAATCATCAGATAAATGAAATTGCATAACAAATAGCTTGAAATGAGGAGAGAGATAAGCACTGTAGGGAGAATCAGAGCCCACCTGTTTGCTTACTGGACCTTATGCTACCTAACTTCACATAAGATAATAGGAAGATAAAGGTAGAAAAAATTTAACAACCTGCTAAAGACCCATGTGCATAACGTTAGTGTGAAGTCCCTGGGGATGTGTGTCACAGACATAGTGTGATTTGTACCTTTTTGTGAGATTTTCTCCAGGAACCCAATATGTCACAGAGAGGATTGGGGCACAATTAAGAGGAAGTCCCTTTCTGCCCCATGTGATGCTGGCTAGTATAGGGGGAAAAGAGTTATTGTTTAAATCCACTCAGATCCATATTGCTTATTTCCACTACAGAACACTTAATCTGTAAGGGAAAAGTAAATAAAACACACACCTTGAGGCCACTGATCGTATCTTTTTGTGGTAAGGGAAGAGCAATGGCAGACGCTACCAAAATGTTGCCCAGACCCATATGCCCTATTTTTCCCAAGTAATAAAATGGTGAGATGCAAGTTCTTAGTGCCTAAGACTGAGGTTAAATTAGAAGATGAGTCCCACTTCCAGAGAACTGTCATTATTTGACCTGTTTGGAACATTCCACTCATAAGGCTATCTTCATTTGACATGACTTAAACTTCACACACTGCAAACAGCATTTTCTCTGAGGACATGACATTAGTTAATGAAAAAAAAAGGGATATTGTTTACCATCACAGCTACTTTAGGCAGTTTATAACAATTAAGGAAAATAGTCTAATTAAAAGCTTAAAGGGAAAAGCTGGAACATGGTATATCCAGAAGGGGCTTTGAAAAGCTCAGACATATCTCTGGGAATGTAGAAGGTGGCACACATCCTCTGGGCTATGTGCATATTCAGGAAAATATCTGAGAAGGTACTAAATTTCCCTCTGATTAACCTTGAGACTCTGAAAGAAAAGTGAAAGTGAATACAAAATATCAAGCTACTGTTGAAGGCATATCCCAACATATAGAGCATCTTGGCAAAGACTGGAGACTTACTGGTTACAAATATTTAAGGAAATCATTGTGCAATTGCTGATATTTAGCTAATGGAGTGGAGACTTTAGTGGCCACATATGACAAAGAATATAGGTTGTAAATATTCTGTTCAACAGAGTCACTAAACAAATAATAGCAGCAGCGGTTGGTGATATTCAGGTGATATATGACATACATATTTTAAGATTTTACTTATTTATATATTTTTAAAGTTTTTACTTATTTATTTTGAGAGTGCACATGTAAGCAGGGAAGGGGCAGAGAGAAAAGAGAGACAGAAAATCCCAAACAGGCTCCAGTGCAGAGCCTAACACAGGGCTCGATCCCACAAATCATGAGACCATGACCTGAGCTAAAATCAAGAGTTGGATGCTTAACCGCCTAAGCCACCCAGGCGCCCCTAAGATTTTATTTTTTAAGTACTCTCTCAATCCAACGTGGAGCTCCAACTCACAACCTCAAGATCAAGAATCCCACACTCCACTGACTGAGCCATCCCAGGCACCCTGGTGCATTATATGTTAAATGTCAGGTTTTCAATAAAAATCTGAGACCTACAAATGAAAAAGTATGGCTCATACACAGAAAAAAAGAAAACCCTAAACTATATATGAAACAGTGTAAAACCTGCCTCTGAGGAAGTCCAGACACTGGACTTACTAGACAAAGACTTTCAATAAACTGTTTTAAATATATACAAATAACTAAAGAAATATATACAAATAATAAATATATATATACAAATATATACAAATAACTAAAGAAAACCACACCTAAAGAACCAAAAGAAAGTATGGTAATGAAGTCTCACCAAATAAAGAATATAAATAAAGAGAAATAATAGATATGTAATGAAAAAGTAAACTAAAATTCTGAAATTTTAGAATTTGAAAATTTGAAACATGAAAGTAAAATAACTGAAGTAAAAAATTCCCTAGAGGTCTCAAAGGGAGATCTGAGCATGCAGAAGAATCAGCCAATTTGAATATAAACCTGCTGAGCTGATACAATCTGAAGACAGTAAAAATAGGGAAAATGAACAAAAAGCCTCAGTTTTTGTGGGACCTGTAGGACACAATCAAACATTTAAACATAGCAACATCCACAAGAGAGGAGTAAAAGGGGAGAGCAGAAGGGGCAGAAAAACAAAGGGTAAATCTTGAAAGCAGCAAAAGGGAAGTGACTTATCACTTCTAAAGATTCCCAAATATGATTCACAGTTGATGTGTCATCAGAAACCAGAGAGAC